TGCCCCATGGCTGGGCCTTCTCTGGCCCCGTTGCTCTGAGCTGCGGGGCCCCCGGCCTCCCCGAGTCAATGACCATCGCCCGAGACAGGAAACGGAATTCCGGTCTCCTCGGAGCAGCCTGTCAGGCGAGCAGGCTAACGGGAAGCACGGAGCTGGGACCGAGGCTGGACCTGGGCATTAATGCAGGGGACCATTCGTCTGCGGCACAGCTGGGCCGCGCGCTACCCTCGGCGTGCGCTTACCGATGGCGAGCTGCGGCAGGGGGCAGCCCAGGCGCTCCGCGATGGCTTGCAGCTCCTTCAGCTTGGCCTGCTGCCTCCTTCCCTCTTCACTCAGGATCTTGTCCTTGAGCCACTGGTAGCCCTTGGAAGAGGCACATTGCGGGAGAGGGGAAGAGTCTTTAATGGCCATCTCCTCCCCGCCCGCAGCGCTCCCTGGGCCGGCCAGCGCCCGGGGGAAAGGGGCTGCAGGAGACAAAGGGAGCTTCCCTGGGCCCCTCAGCGACATGTCTCCCCTGCCCCCCCCCCCTGCCTCTCGTGGCTAGTCTCTCAGTGCCCCGAGGCAGTGCGGGGGGTTCTCCTTGCACTTGGCACATCCACACGCCCTCCTTGCCCCTTCTGCCATGCCAACTCCCCACCTGGCCGCCAGACCAGCACTACTTCCCATAGGGAGCTGGGCTCTAACCAATGCTCCCTCCAAGCTTTTCCATCCATGTGCGGAATAAAACGTGTTCTGTGCACCAAGGCATGCACAGATGCGCCCCACCAGGAAGCACGTGCTGCCGGCTCTGGGCACTGCGGGCGCTCTGCTAATCAGCTGGGCAGCATTTGAATCTCTCCTGGGTGGCCGCCCAAGCACACAGGGAACATTGGCGGCAGCACCCAGACATTGGGCGCTCCAGAGCGCTTCCTTTCATGCTTCTTGGTCTGGGGGCTGAGTTCCCGCACACCGTCCCTGGGTGGCCCTCAGACAGGTGTGGGCTTTCCTGGTTGTGACCCTTTAGGCAAATTAAAGCTTTGCAGCAGGAGACTAAGGGCAGGCAGACGCCCCCGACAATGCACTGAACCTTGCGGGTGCAGAAGTCGGGGAAATAGGATATTAGACGTATACGGAGAGAGAGGTGGGTGGATTTAGGGTTTTGCCTACAGTGCCTGGTCTTGAATGTGGCGTAAGGCAGCTCAGCAGAGAACTCCTCCGGCCGCCTGCTCACGTGACCTGAAAGCAAACTAGTCCCACGCCGGAGACTGCGTCCTAGGATGTGGCAGGGGAAA